GTTTTTCGGAATCCTAATCCGGATTGTATCAGGATAGCAAGAGTACCTGGAAATCCTTCTTACTGTGGCTTGATAAACTTAAATGACTGTGCGATGGCCGATAGACAATCCAGGAAGCCAAACAGAAGTCAGAATCGCCAGAAGGCTGAAAACTACGCTGCGGGGTACTTGCCGAAGCAGAGGAAAAATTTTTAGCTGCAAATTTAGGGATGCTGGCAATTACAGCTGATTAAAATATTAAGGTGTGACAAAGAAAGTAAAATTTGATGGACAGAACAGAAGCTGCGTTTACTGGTCACCAGTTGATATATCGTTTCAGTAAATATTTTTCATACAACAGAAAACGACCACTCGTAAACATTCCGTAGAAGTTTCGCAAGCACGAGAAATAGATAATCCTGGGTGAAAAGCACAGGTAAAGAGTAAAAGAGGACGTGAGGTGCGAGGCTGAAAATTCGCTGGGATATTCTACTTCAAAGTTCAGGCTTAATTCTGCTTGAAAGTGAAATTCCCTGCAAGTAGTTACGAGAAATACTCAGCTTTACTGAAAAATAATCAGAAACGAGTGCGCTTTGCAGCGAATGACCGTCCTCTCTATGGAATCAGGTGAATGAGAGACGCGCAAAACAGAGAGGAATAGAGAAGTTACCACAAGTTTCAATGTCAAAGAGAAATGCGGCGATGAAACGACAGCTGATGGAGGTACTAACGCAACAATGAGGACGGAAGAGATGGAAAATCCAAGCTTAACGCTAATTTCAGCAATAAAAAAAGTGCTAAGGACTAACCTAATTCTTGTGGGAACTGCTGCGCGATACAGGCAATCCCTATACTCAGACCCTCACCCAACGATTTAGCAAAAGCCACTCCATTGCTCATTCCATCCACGAAGTTATTAGCCGATGAACCAATTATGATCATATATGCAATACTGGAAATTTCTAAAGCTTCCGGACGAACTTCCATCTGTTCGATCACTGCTACCGATACACTCACTGTATCCTC